CGCCGCCCCCAGCTTCCCCCCAGCTGCCTCCTTCAGCGTCAGGCTGGAGAAGGGCCCCCGCCTGCGCCTCCTTGGGGGGCTGGAGCCGCCCAGCGTGGTCCCAGCTAGTGCAGGCGCGGGGCCGGACACCTCCGGGTCCAGCCACGTGGGGCCCCGGCACAGGCTGGGGGCTCGGGCTCCGCGGGGCCTCGCGCTGGCCTGCGCCGGGCAGCCACGGCCCACACCCGCTCCTGGCTCCTAGGGAGGGAGGAACCGTGCCCCGAGCTGGAGCCTGGATGTCCCCCTCCCGCCCCTGAGGAGGCGGCGGACGGCTGGTGAGCGGGGGGAGGGGGGCAGCGGCCGCTGCCCACACTGCAGACCCCCGCCCCCACCGGGCTGGGCCAGGGCAGGCCTGCGGGACAGCGGGCTCCTCTGTGTGAAGTCCAGGGGCAGGGCAGGACAGGGGCACCGTCCGGCGGAGGAGGGCCGACGTGCGGAGCCGGCTGCAGACCTGGCGGCAGCGCAGGGCCCTGGGCCACCTGGACCGGCTGCAGGAGGAGAAGGAGCTTTTCGTCCAGGAGACCAGGTGAGCCAGCCGGGCCCGCCAGTGGCCGCCCTGCCAGCCACGGCCAACGCCGCCCCAGCCCAGGTGGTCAGCCCCAGCCCCAGCAGAGGGGCCCCACGCCTCTGTGGGGTGAGGACAGCTGCACTGGCCACCGGCCCCCAGGACCACTGCCCTGGCCTGCGACATCAGCCAGTCACCTGGACCGGCCGCAGACACCGGACACTTCACGGCCGGGTGGCCAGCGAGTCCCGGAGGCAACTTCCACCCCGCGCTGATGGGCTTCGGGCCGCGTCTCCGGACAGGGCCGCCACCGATGTGTCCGCTCTGGGACCCACCCCACGGGCTGTTCTCTCGTCTCCTTTGGGCTGGGGTCACACCCGCCTGCTGCAGGGCGCCGGGGGGCAGCAGGGGCCCATCTGGAGAGACGGGGGTCTGCAGCCCGGGTGGGCGCAGGCAGGCTCCCTGGGGCCGGGGCCCAGGCAACCGCGGACTCCGCCTCCCCAGGAGGGAGCTGCAGGCCAGCCGCCAGAGGATGGAGCGCACCAGGGGGCAGCAGGAGAGGCTGGCGGCCGAGGTGGCCGCAGAGACAGAGGCCAACAACACGTAGGTGCCCGCTCCGGGCGGGGCGGGGCCGTGGGGCGGGCACTGGGCCACCAAGCCAGGTGCCTTCTAGGGGGAGGGGTGGGCAGAGGGGAGCAGCTTCCGCCCACCGTGGCCTGGGGCAAGGCGTGGCTGAGTCGGCGGCCCACAGTGGCACGAGTCCCCTCCCGTGTCCACCCCAGTGCCGCCGTCGGCCACCTCCGCGCAGTGGCCAGACGCCTGAACGCGGAGCTGGACGAGGAGCAGGCCCTGCAGGCCGGACTGCAGGCCGTGCTGGGGGAGAGCACGTGAGTGAGTGGGCTCTGCGCCCCCGCGCCCCTGTTCCTGGGGCTCTGTCCGGGCCGCTGCCAGGCAGAGGCGCCTGCCCGCTTCACTCCCAAGCCACTCATGCGCTGAGCGGGCCTGACCGCGGGCGGTTGCCCGGCCCAGAGTGACCGCCCGGCTCGGGCCCAGCTGGGCACTACAGGGCCTCGGCCCCAGGAG